ATCCCCCCTCCTCTCATCATCCGTCTGCTCCTCATCCTTTTCCCTTCTTCATCATCCATCCTCCTCCTCCTCCCCATTATCCTCCTCCTCCTCCTCCTCCTCCTCCTCCTTCGAACGATAACGGCTGCCCCTCTTCGTTCCGACATATCCCTGATCACCTCAACTCGGCTGGGCGTCGTTTCTGGATGGGCTAGTGATCGCGCGCTGGCACCGGTTGCATTTGAAAGGCGTTATCTTTCTCACTTGTAGGTTTGGAACATGATGCCCTTGAAGAGCGTAAGGAAGAAAAGGCCGCTCAAGTGCAACCGCTCTCGGCGCGGGGCCTGGCGGCAAAAAACCAAACGCGCCTCGACAGCAGCAGCCTCTAGTTGCTCTTGAAGTGCGTTTGGCTTCTCACCACCAGGTTGCGCGCCGGGGGCGGCTGCGATTGACGGGCGGTTTCGTCCTCATTTGCAAGGTTGGGGCATGCTCCCATCGAGGCGCGTGAGGAAGAAAAGGCCACTCAAGTGCAACCGCTTTCGGGCCGGAACCTGGCGGCAAGAAACCAAGCTCTTTTCGCGAACATTCTCCTAACGGGCGGTATCTAGCCAGCGTGCCTCCACCTCCCTCCTACGCCGCCTGCGCCCCTCCTCATCCTCATGCTGCTTATCCAACGCGTGCCCCCCGCAACTTCGCGATCATTTCTCTCTAAGCCTCCTGGATGGGGTCGGAGTAGATGGGGTCGGAGGATCACGCTGCATCGCCGATGCATCGCCCATGCGGTTCGATGCGGAGCCTGATTTGCGTCGCGCCGACGTCGCCGATGCACCGCCGGCGTCTTTGATGCATCGCTGATGCATCGCCGATGTTTCGCCGATGTATCGGCGATGCGGCGAGATGCTCCGACCCATCTACTCGGGCCCATCCGGGAGGTTTCTGTTCTCCGCCGCCGCAGTCCCCCCTGCGCGTTACAGCGCTGGTCGCCGCGTCGTCGTCGTCGTCGTCGTCGTCGTTTTCAAGGCCAGGTCCCGCCTTCTCCCTGGGAGT